ACTCCAAACGCTTTGAGCATTAGTAGTGGGTTTTTGGCCCCATTTTCTTGCGTCTAGTGGCTGCCTCTGTTTCATGTAAAACCCAAGACCCAAGAGATGCGAAAAAGCAGTTGGTGGCCTCTGAGAAGTTTTTAACATGTGGAAGCGTTCACAAAAATTTGGGGTCTGTGCAATTTGGTCTCCTGTCTCGTTTTCATATGCATCGGTTGACGAAGTTGCACGGGTAGCCATTTGATCTGAACACCCGTCGGACTTTTTGAGATTCGATGACCTTGCCATACGGTTAACTACAGTGCGTCTCAGTCCGCCAAAATAGCGCCGCTACGCAATTCTGTTTGTGGCTGATCTGATGGTTGCTGTTGATGCTCAGTACTTGCTTAATATTAGTCACTTTCCTGAAAACTAGTACTTAGACCACCGTAATCGTTGTAGCTGACGTGGACATCCAGAAAGGCTACCTGGTTGTTCGCCTCATGCTTCATCGTAAATTGTAGGTACAGGAAGGCAGCGCTGAGATATTCTCTGAATGCCAGCTTCTGATCCCGTCTGCTGACAACAAAGGTACCACCCACATACAGAGGCGAGACCGGTACATGACTGTCAAAGTTGAGGGTAACTAAGTGAAACTGTGAATAAAGATAGTTTCGAGACGAAGCATTGGTGTGAGAAGATAGCGGACGACGTCAATCTTCTTCATTTATTTCCACGATCTGACATCCGCCACCAGAGCTATTTTTTGTCAGCCAGTCTGAGGCCGAGCGTTAGTATGTTTACATTCAGCCTTGCCAAAGCGGAGCCAATTTTAGAACCCGACTTGGCGGGACTGACTTATGTGGATGTCTAAACAGGACGTAGAAATACGAATGCCCAAGTAATAAGGGTGAACCTACGCATAACTCTGGAAAGAGAAAAATAGTCCCGTGTCCTAATAACCCCAACAATAACCCCTGCACATCTAAACCGATGCTCTAAACTTAACCCTAACATTTAACCTTAATTATGCAGTCAACACTAGCTGCTACCTTAATCCTAAATTTGATTTGGACTTGCATTACCTTTAACCTGGTCTTTTAGTTGGCTCTAACTTTTAGCTTAAACCCTACCCTTAACTCACCGAAGGTCAGGTCAAACCCGCCCGTGTTGAAGCCGATCCCCATTCTCATGTCCTGTTTAGGCATGCAAATATGTTCGCCATACCCTCATTCCAGCACTTGAGGGTTCGACCTGCTTTTAATTTAAGCATTCTTGAAAATGCAGTAAAGTTGAAGGTCAAGGCCTAGGTATCGGAGGAAGTTGAAGGCAGTTATTGGTTGCGATTTTAAGCGGCTTATTAGATTTACGTAAAAATGTTCACGTTTTCATTTAAATTCTCTCTGGTTTGAACCAAATATACGGATCGAAGGAATTTTTATCGGTAGGAAGTACACTTTTATGAAACTAAAATTATACCGGAAATGAGTTGATTCGTCAGTACAATAGTGGGTTTAACCACATTGTAAAACGCCAAGAATATAATGAAAAGCAGCATGTTAATTTTAAAAAGACGCGATTAAGATACCGCAAAATCAGCCTAGATTACAAAGAAAATAAAATTCGTTGGTGGGTTATTGAAAGGTGCATTTTTGATTGAACAAGCCTATAGGTCGGATACTGGAATGCCATAAGTCAAGCCGTCACATATGCGGAAAGGAGGGGGGAGTGTACGAACATATTTCATCGTACAGGTGCATGAACTGGCTAGGGGACTTTACTCCTATCCATTTTTACGACTGCAGTTACAGCATCACAGCGTGTTGACAGTTGCAACACGATTTCCGGAGAGTCTACCATAAAACGGCCTTTAATCTACGACAAAAGCAGGAGTGTTTTCACTGATACAGTATCTTAAAACCCTAATTAAAAGCGGGGTTTTGGGGAGGATTCTGTTGGATTGGCTTAACTGACTCAGTTATCATGACTTATATCCACTTTGGTGATCGGTTGGTCATATATGGTTCCTGAACAATCGAATACCGGATGGAAATAATATCTGCATGACCTCATTAGTGAGTTGGAGGCCGTCGAACAGTAAATATGTGCTCACCTCTTTCGTCATGCGATACTGGTGTTCAACGTTAATTCCAGACTCCGTTGTTTTGTTATAAACAGTCCTCGCATAGTTGGCGGTTTTTGACTGAAAAGTTTTACTGACACCAGCTTCAGAGCCTTTGGCGGTTGGAATTAAAAGAGGACTTAAGTAGTCACTGAACCTAGTGTGGGTCTGTCGATAGCCTGTTACTAACGACGGCATGGAAAATATCATCACGGCACTTCAGGGCATTCTAAACCGTGATTAATTTGAGGCGTTTTAAAACTATCCTGACACGCTAAAAGTGATGGCTTAAAGCACTGCCAACTGACTGGATAACTCGACTGTGCGTATGTGGGTCGTCTGGCTCAGGCGGCAATGACTCCTTCTTTATGTGGCAGCTATGGCCTTCGCAGTCCTACGGGGTCCTAGTCGGGCCCTTGGTCCCATGAAAACCTAGTTCGTCAGGTGTCAGTTACTGCGCCGGGGTTGACTTCCGGTTTTCTTGAAAGGGACCTGTCATCAAAAACTGGTAGTTGAGGGAGGAGGAAAAGGAGTAAATGCTGCACAAATAAACTATCATAACCTGATCGGTGAGGGCCTATCTATCATAATTAATATTCCCGACGACAATCGACTGGATAACGGGCTCGTGGCTCAATGGCAGAGTGTCAAACTCCATGAACAAAGATCCCGGGTTCGAATCTCAAGTGATCCACGTTTGGGGTTAAGTATGACGGGTTGATGACGGCTCATAAGCCAAAAATGGCCATTACGGTCACCCTTGTCTTTGTCGGTATCACCTAATTAATATATACATATATAAGCAGCATATTACTACCGACAGAGACAGGGAGACTGGAATGGCTATTTCTGGCTTATTAACCGTCGTCAGCCAGCCATACCCAACCCCGAAGTGTGGAACGTCGGAAGCCCGAATTCGCGACCTGTTAGTTAGATGTCCACGCCTCTAACCACTGAGCCACGAGCCCGTTGCCCTGTCGGTTTCGATCGGGAATATACAATGTTAGGGGCGCTCACCGATCGTTCATACGGAACTCACCCCTTTCCGTTGTGCCTTACGGGGTTGAATATGGCTGGCTGACAACGGCTCTTAAGCCAGAAATGGCCATTTCAGTCTCTCTTGTCTCTGTCGGTAATAATATGCTGCCTATATCATGCACCGCTGTGCGGCTGCTGGTTGGGCTCGAGGGAGAGCCCGTAAGGCACAACGGAACGAGTGAGGTCCGTATGAACGATCGGTGAGCGCCCCTTAACATTATATATGCTACGGCGTCCGCGGGAACCGACGCGCTCCGCAACTCTGGTCCAGTGGTGCAGGCAGATAATATGCGATAGGGACTACCCAACTGGGGTCGGACTCTCGGTATTGGATGCTGGAATGTGCGAACGTTCCTGGACCCCCGTACCCAAAATCTGACCGCATGCAACCTTGATCAGTACAACGTGGATGTCTGCTGTCTGTCTAAAGTTCGACTCCCTGACTCAGGCTCCCGCGAAATAAACATCCGTGGAGTCGAATCACATTTTGCCCTGTACCACAGCGGCCCGCGCGACTCTTCTGGTCGGCACGGTGTGACGATCGCCCTGTCGCAACAAGTGGACCTCGCGCTACTTGCTTGGGAACCAGTCAGTGACCGTATGGCCTACGTTCAACTGAAGGGTCACTTCATGAACACCTCAACTGTCTCTGTGTACGCACCAAATTCGGCTGCCGAACAGCGCGATAAAGAGGCGTTTTACTCGCAGCTGCAGGCGTTGGTTGAAAGACTGCCTCGCCGCGATCTTCTGATTGTTGCTGGCAATTGGAATGGTCGGACTGGACCTGGCGACCCCACAATCAGTCATCTTCTTAGCCGCTTTGGGTTTGGCTCCCGAAGTGAAAATGGTGAGAGATTGCTGAAGTTCGCTGATCGAATCCGACTGCCTGTCACCAACACATGCTTCCAGCATCGCAAAAATATCTGTTGATCTGGTATTCAAACGACGGTCGTACGGCCAGTCAGATTTACTACATACTAGTCAGCTCAAGGTTCCGCAGCTGGGTTCACGATAGCCGATCGATGCGTGGTGCCGAGACTGGTAACGCCCATGGGTCGGACCATGTCCACTTCCGTACACGCTTGAAAGTTCATCGCTCATCCGCGCCAAAAATGTCACGTCCAAGACGCCCCGATGTCGCAAAAATCCGGCAAACCAGCATTGCCAGAGCCCTCAGCAGATAAATTTAGACCTGTTTTACGACCCGAGCCGACGGAGAAGGCAGTAACAAGTGCCCGTCAGTAAAAATATCAGTCTATGGGGCAGCCGGGAAAATCCTCGGATACACCCAGCGACGCCGCAGTGAGTGGATCAGCGGAAGAACCCTGCAGTTCTCTGCCCAGACGGCTCGAGCCTGGTCTCGTAACGATGGCTGCTTCCACTACCTTCGGAAGATGACGGCAAAATCGGCCAGGGATGACCGGAAGCAATATTGGGCTGAAATAGCGACCTCCATGGAAAAGGCCTCGAATGTTGGTGACACTCGAAAACTCTACCAACTTATCCGCCAAGTTAGCGCAAGCCCTCTACACTGCGCAACAATAAGGCACCGGAAAGGACGGTATACCCGCTGCTATCTTCAAGTCTTGTGTCGACACTCTGGCGCCCTGGCTCCATTAGGTGATCGAACGAGCGTGGAGAGACGAGGTTGTTCCTGATGTCTGCGGCTTAGGCATCATTGTACCTATCCTCAAGAAGGGAGATAAGACGAGATGCGAGAACTACCCGCCGCATAAGCCTCATCGACGTTGCTGCGAAGATTTTCGCGATTATTCTACTCAGGCGATGCCAGGCTGTGCGTGACTGAAGAACATGTCCCGACCAAGCCGGATTTCGTGCTAGACGTGGATGCGCAGACCAGATATTCACAATGAGGCGCATTCTAGAATTTCGCCATAACTACCAACAACCGACGGCCGTCTGCTTCTTTGACTTTGCCGCCGCGTTCCATTCCGTCCATCGGGAGTCCCTATGGCGGATAGTGGCGGTAGATGGTGTAACGACAAAAATAATCGTCATGATCAAGGCCTGTTATCGCAGTACTACTGCGAGAATCCTGGTCCGCAACAATCTTTCCGAACCGTTGAATATTCGGCCTGGCGTTCGACAGGGTTGTATCCTGTCGCCCATTCTGTTCAACTATGCTATTGACTGGATACTCGGGAGAGCCCTACACGAAGGTGATGGTGTTCAGTTTGCACCCCGACACCGACTGACTGATCTCAATTATGCCGATGATGTCGCCTTAATTGTTTCAAGTTTTGGTGATCTGCAGTCTATGGTGTCACGGGTGAACGAGGTCGCTAAATCAGTCGGTTTATCCATAAACGCTGGGAAGACTAAAGTGTTTTCAAGCTGCATCCCTGACCAGGAGAAGACCCACCTCGAGATTGATTGCTGTCAATTTGAAGACGAAGACAGTTTTAAATACCTCGGGGCGAGGCCGCTACCAAATGGACAGAGTAAGGACTACATTGTCTTGCGAATTGATGCTGTCAGCTGTGTTTTCTCAAGTCTTCGGAAATGCCTATGGATCCGACGTGACCCCTCCATCGCTATTAAGATTCGCGTGTACCGTACATCTGTCCCGTCTGCCCTTCTCTACGGCTGTGAATGCTGGGCTTTGCGCGTGGAGGACGAACGAAAACTGGAGGTATTTGATAACCACTGCTTGAGGATTATCCTTCGAGTGAAGTTCACCGACTTCGTCTCAAATGAGACAGTCCGCGCTCGCTGCGACAACATCGCAAGGATAACTCAGGCCATCCAAGAAAGACGACTGAGGTGGTTCGGACTTGTTCTTCGTCGTCCATCTCAGGAGCTCAGTGTTACTGCCCTTGATCCAGCACCGTTGCCCCGTTGGAGGCGTCGAAGAGGGATTCAGTTCAAAACCTGGCTCGACGCAGACATGGAGGTGGTTCATGGATCTTCGGTATTCGGTCTCCGTCGTTGGCAAGGGGTTGGGCTGTCCAGATCTGCTGTCGCGGATCGTCACGCGTGGAGAGGTATAGTTTTCGACATCATCGAGGCCGTCAGTCGTATCAAGTACACGCAAGTACAAGTATCTCCTTTTAAGATCAATAATGAAGAGAGGGTGAAGGAGTGGTGGGGGGTTACCGATTTCGAGATGGGACACATTCGTCTCAGTTTGGGCATAGGGACTTAATCTCGAGACCCTCTAGGAGCCAGAGAGCAACTAGTAGTACCTACGAAGAGAATAGCATTGTGCAATAATTTACCGTACTAACAAGTACGGTAAATTATTGCACAATGCTATGCTACTGGCTGCCTGTTGGCGGTTTGTGAATATTAAGCGGTTATTCCGCAGTAGCTGATGGATTTCAGCTCAAATATTCATATCCAATTTCGGACCGTGCCAGAAAAGGCCTGTTTCGAAAGAGTTACTCCAAGTTCGCGCATTAATTTCCTCGGAAATTAAACAAGGCACGAAGAGAATAGCATTGCCGAAAAAACTAGGAAGACTGGAATGGTCATTCTCGGCTTACTATGAAATAGCAAGTCTTTAAAATCAAACGATATCCCTTCGCGGACAAGAAATATAAGGATGACAGCATTCGCTGCAGTATGATTTCAAGAAAGAACACTGTACGCATATTTTCTATGAAATAGTCTTGCATTTAAAAGGACATCAAAAAGCGACGGCAAACATTACTAATACTTAAGTGGTCACTTCTTAAAAGCTGTGTTACCTACTGGCGGCCGGAAGGAAGGTCGGTAAAATGCCGGCATCCTGACATGACCGAAATAACTTGCCGCATGGTGATTACTATTACATTCCTACTTAAGTGATCTTTGCAAATTGAAAACATCTCAGAATTTCGGTTAACATTTCACGAGCTAGCATATCTAACAATCTTGGCGTGGTATGCGACGCGAGGTACGCTGGTGAAACGCACGGACTCCTTGGCAGAAGATTGCCCGTATACCAATTTGCAATCAACCACAAGGACAAGCTGTGCTCAGTCTCCTTAAGCCTTCCATAAACTCTGCTCGGTATCTGAAGTTCAAGTTGGCATTTTTCTTCTCGTCAGGTTACACAGGAGTGTTTGGATCTAGTAGGATGATGTAGTTGTATACATTCGCTTTTATATACTATAAAGCGTTATGTAAGTATTTTAGCGACCGGGGATGTTCAGAAAGACACCCCGAGGATAATCTAAGACAAGTAATTTTTGAAGTAGTATAGGCTGAACGGAATTATTAGATATTCCATTGAACTCATCCAGACGTACAAGACAAAACACGGCTTGCGTGGATATGAAAGGTACTCTAATACGAAAATTGGAGCCACGGGCTGGTTGTCCTGTCGGTTGCGATCGGGAACATACAAGGGTTGAGGAGCGTTCACCGATCGTTTTTGCGGTTGAGCTCGAGAGAGAGCCCTAAGTCACAAAGGGACGAGTGAGTTCCGTAATATAAAACGATCGGTGAGCGCCCCTCTACCATACAGTGGACATTACCGATAACGAAGATCGAATTGCCGAGTCGACCAGTGTATAACTGAAACCTGAAGTCTTCTGCATAATTAATTAGATGCTGCGGGCCTGTGGAGAGCTGCAAACCAAAGCAAATTTCTATATAACCTACGAGACATTTATAGAGTAATGTGAAGAAATCTCCAAACTCAAAAGGCAATTTGGCGAGCATACGTCTGCTTTCAATAAATTCTCTTCAGGGCTGTACATTTATATGGCTATTGAAGTAATGAATTAAAAGATACGGGCAAGTAGATAATTAAGCTGTAGCTCGGGCTTGGAGAGGGGAGTGGAGGGGGAGAGTGAAACACCACAATTTCAGTCAGCACCCGGGAGAAGGTGGGTCCCGGCGAAGGTAATTACATGCGGGTGGCTGGCTTGGTGGCTTTGACCCATGATAACTGTGGGACCTGTAGAAGTTCTTCTGTGCGCATAGGACCGTATCTTTTAATTCATTACTTCAATAGCCATATAAATGTACAGGCCTGAAGAGAATTTATCGAAAGCAGAAGTATGCTCGCCAAATTGCCTTTTGAATTTTACAATGGGAATTTTCGCAACTCTAAATCTCTAAACCGCAAGTTTTAACCAAACGAATATACGCATTTTTCCAAGCAGTGTCCTTTGGAGGGGTTCGTCTCCAAAAGATCGCCAGTCCTCTCTAAGAGAACCATTTGACAGATAAGCAGGAAACACAGACCCCGTTAAGATCTTTTTACGTAAATGGGAGCACCCTAAGTGTATGACCCAAACAGTCAGATGATATTTTTCAGCCTAGCAAACCTAAGCAAATTTGGTTTTTTTCGAAAACGAACTTGTTGGATTTTGCTCACGCTAAGTTCTTGCCAGAGAGTTGCTATACGTCAAATGTTTCCGATCCTTCGTTGATGCGTAATATGTGAATGACTTGTTGCCGATTGTTGAGCGCTTTCTGACAGTCCGAGTTCACACCAGCAAAGTAGTTTTCGCATTTTACCGATTGCGAACTTTTGTCATGCACTATTGCATCCGTGGTTCAAATCGATAATTGATTTCCCGCGCCAGTGCATTTGAAGAAGCCACATTCAGCGGCGCATGCAGCGGCCTATAAAATGACGCCTCTTCACGGAAGCTGCCATCCACAGCCATGAACACCCTCCTTCTCCTAACACTCGTCTGCTTGGCGATTCCCGCCCTCAGCTATGGCGGCTACTATGATTTCAGTGGCTGCAACACCTCCTACTGCCACTCCGGCATGTACCACGGTTACGGTTGCAGCCATGGCCACTGTAGCTACGTCTGTTACGGCAGCTACTGCGGTTACGGCGGCTACGGAGGCTGGGGTGGCTACGGCTGGGGCGGCTACGGCGGCTGGGGCGGCTACGGCGGTTGCCACGGTGGATGGTGCGGCGGCTATGGCGGATACGGCGGTTACGGCTGCTTCGGTGGACACTGCGGCCACTACGACTTCAGCTCCTGTACCACGACAACCTGCGTGTCTGGCGGCTACCACGGCTATGGATGCCATCACGGCATGTGTGACTACGTCTGCTACGGTGGATACTGCAGCTATGGCAGCTACGGCTACGGCGGCTATGGCTGGGGCGGCTGGGGCGGTTATGGCTACTAATGTGACGATGGTTACTTCTAAGTGCAAACGGAGCCGCCAATGGCCTCCAGGTGATAGACTGTAATTCCTTGTATGTTCTGTAAAGATCACCTGAACAAAGAAATCTATCCGCCAACGTGTTCCTCTGTTGCTTTTCCATAGACTGCATCGCTATCTAATATGTTTCAAAACTGACCTCGGAGAAGAGAATCTTTAACTATACTGCTCAGATACCATGCGCATACGGAGAGACAACCTAAAATCCCGCAAACAGGCACACTAGTACGTAACAAGAAAAATATTAACATTGTATATTTAATGACTGCAGAATAGTATAGAGAATCTCACACCAAGATTCATCACAATTTTCCCGGCCGAAAACTATGTTTCGAAAGGTCGCTGTTGCCTGCGTTCATTTCTGGGTATATTTCTTATCAAACTTGCTGCAAAGGGGCAGCAGCGGAGAGCTGAGGCGGCCCAGACAACATCAGCGTCTGTACTATTTCAACAATCGTGTATGGTGACCACCATGTCCACGAATGTTTGAGTGGCTTCTGCGACTAAGTCTGTTATAAAAATGGAGGTGCTTGCTGTGGCAGTGAGACTTTATAAGAATTGATCCTCACAAACCCGTCCAGCGCAAGTTGGCGAAAGAGCATCAACCCCATCTCATCTATGTCTACTACTAGTCACTGTGCGACTGCCTGCGAGGGTTCTAGTATGAGCCCCAAGGCACAACGGAACGAGCATGTTCCGTAACCTGATTGGCGAGCGCCCACTGTCATAATATATATATATATATATATATATATATATATATATATGAAGAAGATAGAAGGCTCGTCGGAAAGAATTGAGTTGTACTCGTGAATTTTCGAGCTGGTGACACCAACCCGTCGTCAGACGAAATAAACGAAGGAGAAAGTGAAATTATCAAACTAAATTGGTTGGCATGACAGGGCAGCCACTGACAGGCAAGCAACTAATGCATGAAATGCGGGTGGACGCATAATTAGGCTAGGATCTGTGGCGGCGGAGGGGAGGGCGAACTGTTGGGGCTCCCTGTGTTGGAGGGTAGGGGAGAGGGTGACGATTAAATGGGATTACGGACAGTTCGTCGATCCGACATGCGGGCAGAGGTCAGTGATCCAACGCAGAGGTGTTAGGGATTGCAGTTGCGGTTCACTGTGTCTGGGGTAGAGGGTGGCGAAATTGTGCGATTATACATGTCCCAGTATGGGTTAGCGGCTGTTGTTAGGTCGCAGGCGCAAGTCAGTGAGCCGGGCACGTAGACCTTCGTAATGAGCGTCCAGATCGACATGGCCATTGATGCTGGTCGTTTTAGAGTGCCAGGCTTCGAGGAATTCTCGGGCCTGTTTGGTGTTTGCCGTGGCAACAACTTCAGTTTCTTCCCAATTGAAGCGATGGCCGCATTCAAGGGCGTGCGTTAACACTAGTGACAAAGGGTCACGTCTGCGGATGGCTAGTTTATGTTCGTTTATACGCGTCCCGAGTCGTCGGCCTGTATGACCAACATAGTCGCAAGAGCAGTTAGCACACGGAATGCGGTAGATGACATTGCTTTGCTGCTCTTTGGGTACGGCGTCTTTTACATGAGATAGCGTTGCGCGTAGGGAGGACGCCGGCTTGTGGGCAATGAAGATGCCAAACCGATTTAGTTGTCGGGCGATCGCTTCGGAAATGCCCTGTATGTAGGGGAGTGAGAAGAATTTCCGTATTTCTGATCCCTCATTAGAACCAGTGCTTTGTGGTTGTCTCCGATGTCTGAGACAGTTTTTCACAAAGCTGATCGGGTACCCGTTGAGCCGGAATAACCGATACAAAAAAGTGAGCTCTTTCTTAAGCAGGTCATCGCTGCTGCAGTTACGATAGGCCCGGTGGAAAAGGGTTCGGACACAGCTCCTTTTATGAGCCGCAGGATGGTTGCTTTCATAATTAAGAATGACGTCAGCACTGGAGTCTTTTCGGTAGACGCTCGTTGCAAGACCGCCATCACTGAGCGTTTGAATACTAACGTCTAGAAACGGGAGAATGCCTCCTGTTGCCTCTTCGCGAGTAAACTGGATAGCTGGGAAGACGCTATTCAGACTCAGATGCAGTTGCTCAATTTCGCAGGTCTTCATGATAACAAACGTATCATCTACGTATCGGAGCCACATTTTTGGCTTAAAGGTTCGCATAACTTCCTATTCTAGTTGTTGTAGTACGAGTTCAGCTAGCAGACCTGATATGGGGGAGCCCATTGGTGTACCTCTAACCTGTTGATAAAACTTTCCATCGAAATGGCAGTAGTTCTTGAGACAGAGTCTAAGAAGCTCCGAAATGTGTTCTAGTGGAATGTTGGTTGGATTATCTTGCAGGTGTCGGGTTACGCTCTCAATCGCTAGGTCATGTGGTATTGAGGAAAACAGGGCAACCACATCAAACGATAGAATACATTCATCAGGACTTACTTTGAGGCCTTGGATCTTCTGGAGGAATGCCTGAGAGTTTTTGATGCTATATTGTGATCCATTGGTTAGGTGCTTCAGGTGCCTGTATAACCATTTAGCGAGGTTGTAGGTGGGCGATCCAATAAGCGGCACTATGATCCGCAATGGTGCACCTTCTTTGTGAACCTTTGGGAGGCCATATGCATGGGCTATTCGGGGGTCGTTGAGAGTCATAAATCTGGAGTCATCGGGGGTTATGAGCTTCAATCGAGTGAGCTCATTTACTTTCTTTTTTATAGCCGCGGCTTGCTTTTTAGTCGGATCCTCCGCGAGTGGTGTGTAGGCTTCCGTGTCGTTAAAGACTTGGTTCGCCTTGTTGACGTAATTACTTCTTTATATATATATATATATATATATATATGAAAAAATATAAGAGGTTCTTCGGAACAGTCAAGTTTTACTCGTGAATTTTCGAGCTGGTGACACCAACCCGTCGTCAGACGTAATGAAAACGAGGGAGAAAGTTATGTTGTCACAGTAGACCAGTTAGTGTGATAGGACTGAACAGACCACTGACGTGTGAGGGGGGGTGGGGTGGGCTCCCGGGGTCATGGTAGGTCACTGAGGGAGGGGCGGGAAGGGAGAGGAGGCGGAATAATTACGGCGCACCGTGCTGGAGGGGGAGGGTGGGTGGTGAGTCGGTTGGAATGCGGGCGGCTACATTCGCGGTCGTTGATGCGTGATTAGGGCAGGGGGCAGTCATTCGTGAACGTAGACCCTCGTAATGGGCGTCTAAATCAATGTGACGGTTGATACTACCCGCATTGGAGTACCAAGCCTCGAGAAATTCCCTCGCTCGCTTTGTGTTAGCCATGGCGACGACCTCAGTGCCATCCCAATTGAATCGGTGGTCGTACTCGAGTGCATGGACAAAGACGAGGGACAGGGGGTCTCGCCGACGGATAGCTAGTTTGTGTTCGTTGATACGGGTGCCCAGGCATCGACCAGTATGGCCAACATACACGCAAGAGCAATTAGCACACGGGGTGCGATAAATTACATTCGTTTGTTGCTCTTTCGGGATGGGATCCTTCACTCGAGATAGTGCTGCGCGTAGTGAAGATGACGGTTTGTGGGCAACGTGAATACCCAAGCGGCTGAACTGCCGGGCGATTATTTCAGAAGTTCCACACATATATGGCAAGGAGAAGAATTTTCGCGTCACAATCTCTCCGTTGGGGGTGGCGCCTTGCGACTGTGTCTGCTGTCTGAGACAGTTTTTTATAAAACTGATCGGATATCCGTTAGGGCGGAATAACCGATACAGGTGAGTAAGCTCTTTGTTCAGGAGATCGTTGCTGTTACAATAACGGTAGGCACGGTGGAACAGAGTTCAGACGCAGCTTCTTTTGTGAGCTGCAGGGTGGTTGCTTCCATAGTTGAGGATAATCTCAGAGTTAGTCTTTCCTATGGACGCTTGTTGCCAGGCTACCATCGCTCAACTTCTGTATCCTCACGTCCAGAAACGGCAAGCTGTTTGGAAAACTATCTCTTCTAGTCGCTGCAAAACTAGTTCGGCGAGCAGTCCTGATATTGTTGAGCCCATCGGGGTTCCCTTTACCTGTTGGTAGTACCTATTATCAAATTGACAATAGTTCCTAAGGCAAAGATTTAGCAGTTCTAAAACATGCTGCGTTGGGATCTCAATAGGATTGTTCTGTAGGCGTTGGGTTACGCATTCAATCGCCAAATCATGTTGTATGGAAGAAAACAAGGCAACGACGTCAAAGGACAGGAAGCATTCATCGGTACTTACTTTGAGGCCTTGTACCCTGCGGAGGAACGCTTGAGAGTTGTTAGTGCTATAATCCGATCCATGAGTGAGCCGCTTCAGACGACTGTATAACCACTTAGCTATATTGTAAGTGGGTGATCCGATAAGTGGCACTACTAACGACTCCATTCCTGTCCAAAGAACTGTCGGGTAGGCCAACATACGAGCTCACAAACGCGCCTTTCCTCATCTATATATAGAGTCAGGGCTGTCTGCACATATGTTTGAACCTGTCATGCAAAAAACTAGACGTATTTTGCTTGAAATCATTAATCAGAAACTTATTTGCAAAAAGAGACTTGTCCTACAGTGAGGACAGTGTGGCATTCCATCACTTACGCCCACACACATTTCATCAATCAATGCCCCCCCTCCCCCCAAAGTAAAGCAGTTCCGTTTGGCTGCCCCCCGTTCTTTCGATCTGAGGCTACGTGCTGTATTTAGACTTTTCGGGCAAGGTAGCGGCTGGCAAGTGTGACTCAACCCCAAGCCGGAAGTGACTCATTGATACACAGGCCACTGTAGAGCTAGGCTGTTGGGAGGCAGCGAGTTTAGAAATTAATGTCTGTTGCAGCAGTATACAGATTGTGTACGCCTCAAACATCCTTGAGCGTATCTGGTAGAAATTGAATTGATGTCATTTCCTTTGTGGACACAGAGGGCATTCAGCCTCGATCCTTTTTTTCACAGAATGACCGATGTGACATCGTCTGTGGCGTATCATGCAGTAGGGTCGAGTAATGTGAGCCGAAGTATCGCGGTTCAGTAGGATGCATGCAGATAAAGGACTTGAAATATGGCTGCAAACTTCATTCATACCCTTGTTTAGGGCCGCAGAAGATACATGACCTCTGACGGCAGTTTAGACGAATGGTAGAGGAGTAACCAAGGGTCGCGTTCCGGGCCTCGTTCTTCCAATTGTCCCTTGTGGCTCAATCTCGGCCACCGTCATCAGCCCCTCGGCAGCTTGTACAGTGAGTGACCGATCTCATGAAATGCTGGCTGAAATTCTGAAATGCGTTTTCGATTAGGAAGGATTACTTGATCGCGGTTGTAATACTGATTATCTTATGGCATACCCTTATAACATTTCAGACTTGGCAGGATGTCGGCTTTTAAATACACTTCTTTTCAATCTCCTGTAACAATCGTGCTCGGTAAACAATAACTACTTAAGTAGCATCCATTTTTCCCATTTATTTTCGATGGTCTTGGAAATTCAAATATATTTTATAGGAACCATGAACAAAAATATGCTTTCTTTTAATCAATCAATAGAGAATCACGTCTTCTTTATATTTTATACTTAAGGAAGGAGTATAATTAGGATTTGAAAAACTTTTCTGATTGCCGATTAATTTGGAGCCTGATCATTCGTTGCATTAGCACTTGGTGATTTCAATCTATAAGGTGCATTCGTTCCGCGTAAAGAAAATCACATATTTTTCTATGCCATTAACGAGATATTTTACAGAGTCCATAAACTTTTACAATGGATGCGGACTATGTTGTACATTCCATGAGGAGCAGTGGTAAACGGACAGGTATAATGCTATGTGAATGGACATTTCGCGGTCTTAAAAGTCTCATAATTAGAAACTTTTTTAAAACCTAATTTAACTCCTTTTTTAAGTATAAAATATAAGCAAGACGTGATTCTCTATTGATTGATTAAAAGAAAGCATATTTTGTCTATGGTTTCTATAAAATATATTTGAATTTCCAAGACCATCGAAAATCAATGGGGAAAATGCACGCTACTTAAACAGTCATTGTTTACCGAGCACGCTTTCCACAGGAGATTAAAAAGAAGTGCATTTAAAAGCCGACATTTTGCCAAGTCCGAAATGTTATAAGAGTATACCACAAAATAATCAGTATTACAACCGCGACCGAGTAATCCTTTCTAATCGAAAACGCATTTTAGAATTTCAGCCAAGATTTTATGAGATAGGTCACTCACTGTATTATGGGCAGATTGAAAGTACCGAGAAAGGAAAGGGAGACTGGAATGGCTATTTGTGGCTTAGCAGCCGCCATCAGTCAGCCATATCCGACCCCGAGAGTTGCAACGCGTCTTGTTGGTTAGGAGTCTAACGTCCAAAACATTGAGCCACGAGCTCGTTGTCCTGTCGGTTGTGATCGGGCATATATGGCAGTTCGAACGCCGTTGCCGACGATGCCCACCGTGGACCCCACAACAAGGTGAGAGCAGGGACAGTGACTTGTGCGTGATTTAGTTTATAATGAATGTAAACTTGCACAGCATCTACCCCACAATCTCCTCCTCCACCACTTGGGCCCGGTTTCAAGGAAGAGTCAAGAAGACCGTAGGCGGGGGAGGGTGCAGATCGATAGCAAGATCGAGCCCGCACCTTGGTGCTCCACTCCATACCCGCACAGCAAATGACCAGATTTTTAACTAACAAGAGCAATGGAGGAGCGGTAGGGGTCGGCCGGTGGCCGGGACGGCCGGAGCCGCAACCGTCATACCTGGCTCGGCTGCCACGGAGTGTGAGTGCCATACAAGCTGCATTAGGAAGGATCCACTGCAGCCTGACTCTTAGAGCACCAACCGCCCTCTAAACACACACACACACACACGACAGTTCGACCATCGATTTCGATTATGTCCACCGTGTGCCCCACAGACTGCATTGTGGAAGCAGGGACGGTGACTTACGCAGGTGTTTATAGTGTCAGTAGACTTGCGTAGCATCTACCTACACTTTCTCCTCCTCCTCCTCCTCCTCCTCCTCCTCCTTCTCCTCCTTCTCCTCCTTCTCCTCCTGAGTCCGGTGTTAAGACAGAGTCAAGAAGACCGGACACGAGGGAGGCCGCAGGTGGATGGCTTAGACGGATCCTCGCCTTGACGCTCCACTTCGCGCTCCCATGTCCACACAACAAATGACCAGGATTTTGGCCGACAGAACAATGGGGGGAGTGGCAGTGGTCCCAGATTGTGCGACGACTGCCGACAACAGGGTCTGACCGTGCACCCCGTAGATGTTGGCATTTGTTATTGCGCACGGATAACGTCTGGCAGAATTCGATGTGGCCCCCGTGTTGATCCAGCGCATCTCATACGTGGCCTGTTTTGGGGCCAACACACACACACGCACACAAAACCGGGCTGACTGCGAAATCCAAGTTATCCCGTCAGTTGGCAACCTTCCAAGTCACGGCTTTTAGCGCACCGTGATAGCTTCAAGTTCGTCAGGTTTTTTGTAGTAGGGAAAATGCGCTGAATCGTCGACCTTACTCGCCCATCCCAATCCCAGGCCCCATCCACTGTCTGAGCCGGTCAGTAGACAGGTGCGGGGAATGGGCGCGGCGGCTGACATATCTAGTTGCCTTGTCTGCTCGCGTCACACGCACGACCTGGCCCCCAAACACGAGCATCAGAATTTCATACGACGGGGGTTGAGCGGCGTACACCTCACATGCGTGAGAGTGCCGTAAGTCACGTTAACAGGGGGTCGCTTCAACTTGACCCTCAGCCCACCAGTCCGCCACTCAACACATGAACACATAAACAACTGGATGGACTGCGTGGACTGAGTTGGGGCGTCAGTCAGCGGAGTTCCAAGCCACGGCGCTTGACGCGCCGTAATATTCCCAGACTCAAGTCACACATGCAGCTGGGGAGCCGCATGCAGACGGAGTCAAAACGCACACTTCCTACTTGCACAGGAGGTGGCATTAATGTGCTTTCAGTGGGTGATGTTGATGTGCGATGGGGCGCTGGTGAGGAGGATGTGATGATGTGGCGCAGTCGGCGGTTTCTACCGCATGTTCTCGTAGATTCGTATGTGGCCGAATAAGCCCATGCTGTGCATGCGAGCAGTGTGGGCAGTGGAGGCGATTGCGGCGAGCGTAGGTTGGTGTTCCAGGCACGGGTTCACCAGTCTCTGTTCGATTGATTCACAAGCGACCGACCAGGCCGATGCGTGAGGCGAAAGTACGGTCGCAATGAGGACCGGCACAGACCAGGTCCTCACCTCTGGTGTCGACGGTAGTGACGCTGGTGTTTGTTAGTATGTCAGGGTTGTGTGTAATGTTGATGTGCGTGGCAGACGCCACAACGGCAGACGTTGAGGCAGTGGAGGAGGGTGGGTGGGGAGAGGAGTAGGAGGAGGAGGAGGAGGGGGAAGAGGAGGAGCAGGAGGAGCAGGAGCAGGAGAAGAAGGATGGAAGTGGGGGTTCGGTGGCGGCCAGTGTTATTTGACGGCGTAGGAGGTGAGGTAAAGGTGGACGGAGAGACGACGGTCGGTTTAAATCGTGCGCTGCAATTGCTCAAAAGGTGTCTACCAAGTCCATTTGGCGCCCGGAATGTCCGTTGACACCGTGGACACGTTGAAGACGGTTGTGCGTCCACATTACAAGGTTGGGGCAGTAAGGTTATGCGAGCCTTACGTTTGGCTCTGGCAGCAGTGATGCAGTTGGCTTCGCAGACTGCTGCGCCTGTCCTCGATGTCCTCCTTCTTGTTGGTCGGTCTCGAGTGAGGTCTGCCCAGTTGGCCGGGTTGATCTGCAGACGCTTCGGGAAAGTCTTCAGAGTGTCCCTGTATCGACGGACCTGGCCTCCTTTTCGACAGAGACCCGTGGCGACATCTCTGCGGAAGAGTCATTTGGGTAGACGCTCGTCGTCCATCCGCACGAGATGGCCGCTCCAACACAACCGCAGTTGTCACAGCATGGCTTTCATGCTGAGGATTCCTATTCGCTCCATAAAACCCATGTCCGGGTTCCGGTCTTGTAATCTCCGCTTCAGTATCCATCGAAGACAGCTGAGGTGGAAATGATTGAGTCTGCGCGCCCGCTTCTTGTATACCGTTCAGTTCTCCCCTCTATACAGCGTCGGCAGTATGACCGGCTTGTACATTTTCTGTTTTGTGTTAAGGTGGAGATCATGACGGTTCCAGACTGTTTTGCAGGCGGCTGAAAGCTTCACTGGGTTTGAAAATTCGAAGAGTCACTTCATCGTCCATTTTGGTGCTGCGGGAGAGGGTGCTGCCCAGGTAGATGAAGTGGTTCATGACTTGCAGGTGGGCGCCATCTACATTGATTCGGGGTGCGTTGTAGGCAGCGTCAGGTGGCGGTTGATGCATAACCGTGTTGCTAATCGGGTCTAAGTTGTCGTAGGCGGCGGCGAAGAGGTCCCTGCTCCTTTACTTGTCCCCTTCCGAGGTGGCGTTGTGGGCGCAGTCTTCGGCGGAGAGAAGTTCAAGGGCGGTATTTGCTGGTACACGCGGCTGGAAATGCAGCCGCCAGTGGTTGAGGAGTTGGCCGTCCGTCATATGGACGATCCGGATCTCAAGGTGTTCGGTACGGTAGGCCTCCATTAGCATGGCAGACAACATGAGACTAAAGAGGATAGGAGCAAGGACGCAGCCGTGCCTCACTCAGTTGGTCACTGGGAAAGCGTCTGAGACAGCTACGCTATCCGTGTCGCGCGCTACCATGTCATCGTGGAGCTGATGCACCATCTGAGTGAATCCGTCGTGACAGCCGAGTTTCTGCATGATTTTCTACAGTCCTTCACGATTCACCGTATCGAAGACTTTCGCCAGATCCACGAAGGTAGAGTAGAGGTGTTCCGCATCTCCCGACACTTCTCTCGCAGTTGGTGGACGGCGAAGATCATGCCAGTGGTCCCACGATGACGGCGGAACCCGTACCGGCTTTCCGGCAGGAGAATGCGAGCGAAGATTTTCCCGACGATTTTCGGAAGGGAGATGCCGCGATGGTTGCCTCAGAGCTGGCGGTTACTTTTCCGCTTATAGAGATGGACAATTGCGGCGTCCTTGAAATCCTGCGGGAATTCTCCTTGACGAGACATCACCCGGAGGAGCGCCGTCAGATGATCTATGAGTTGGGGACTAGCGTGCGTGTAGATCTCAACAGGGATCGCATCCGATGCGGACGCTTTCCCACTGGAGAGCTGCTGCACAGCCCTGATGGTTTCGTGGAGAGAGGGCGGGAGGTCGAGGTGGGCGTTGGTCTCCACGTGAGGCAGCCTGACGATGGCGGTTTCGAATATGGTGGAGTGGCGATGGCGAACGCTTCTGACTTGCCCTGCCTATCGTTGTAGAATTTGTGTTTTCTCAGTGAGTAAGGTACTGCCGTCGGCGCTGAGGGGAGATGCAGGGCCTTTGGTTGGAGGACCGTAGAGGGTTCTGGTTGCGGAGAAGGAATTCTTCCATTCGTTGCGATCCGCGTAAGTTTTAAAAAACGAATCTTTCTACTCAGACGTCAGTGGGGGGTGGGGGGTGGGGGGAAGAACATGTCTGGGGTTTTCTTTCTTCCTCCGCGCCAAAAAGACGCGATAACCACTTGGAGTACCTCAAGTCAGACTATTATGTAGATGTGTGTAGAAGCCCTACCATTTACGATCATAACCGTAATTTTGAGCCTATCCTTTGTGGACTTTTCGCCTTTACTCGATGAATGCGGCATTTAGTAGGAAAGGTATGTTAGTAGACGCAGTAGGAAGCTTCGGGATTGTTAATCAAAGTTCTCTACTTTCATTGTGTTTCTCGATTGTTTCAGGAACTACAAACCCCTTTTTGCTGAAATATCCCACACCTCTGAGGCACCGTTGGAGTCGGCGAATCCGACGATCAGAAAGCTCGTGAAGAAGAAGACACGATCGCCGGGACAAGAGCTTTATTGATCTGACTTTTCGGATTCCCGCTCGAACTCATCATCAGAGACAGAAGCAGAATACTGTTCGACACCGATATTCGTCAGGGAACGACAAGTCAAGTCGGCTTAACTGTCACAAATGATGATGTCTACTGTGAACGCGGAGCAGCGACTTGCGTGTCAAGTAGTCTACAGTGGTGGCAGACTTGCACAGCATCTGCTGCACTCTCCCCTTCCTCACCGTCTGCAGCCGTTGAAATGGCAGAGACGGTGGCAGTGGAGACGGGCTCGGACGCAGTGGTTGACAAAATTAAGCATTCCGTCTACGTATGCCACCGACGCCTGATCCGCGCTCAATCGACTCGTTCTTCACAGGAACGAGAAGTGCCCAATTCGGACCCCATCTGAGTGGGCGTGTCATATGTGGCACATGGCAGTTTGAGTCCATGTTCTGAGCGGATCGAGCTAGTCCATCATTTGGCAGCTTTCCATTTAGCACATCACGGTAGTCTGAAATCGCGTCAGGTGGAGAGTGGGCTGAAGTGTCGTGGTGAGGGAGTCTGTAGGATCGACCTCGCGTCAACTCACCCCTCTAACCTGAAACAGTCTGCTCTCCGAGTCGGTCAAACAATTGATGCTGGGACTGGTCGAAGCTGACTGATAGAGCAAAGCAACCCGTCTACGCGCGCCACACACACACGACTCTGAACCGCACAGGATGGCGGTTTCCATTGCGATGAAATGGGTCGAAGGACGTAATTATTCGTAGACGGCAGAAAGGGATTGCGTGTTGCCTGGAACCGCACGGCTACTGTTCATCTACTCCAACTCTAACAAAGAGCAAGTAGTCGAAGTGGTAGGACAAAACTGACTGATAGATGAGACAAATAATTTCGAAGGTGAGGGGAGCGCGGATTTCCATTCTGGGTCCGCAGCCATCTGCGTCCACCGATATTCTGCAGAATGCAATTTGTAATAAGATTTTTGAAACTACTGGGACTTTGTTTAAGGTGCAGTGTTTCTGCTGCTGTAGTTCCCTCTGGGGAATGGGACAGATCCTGCCTCGCCCCTCATATATGCGTACATCAAACGCATTTTTGAGTTTCATTACCGGTAAACGTGTTTTATGACTGTAGACCTCTGCTTACCAAGCAAACAACAGCGAGACATAATGCCCGACCAGCTTCCTAGTCACTTTCGATGTAGGCTGCCTCCTTTGAGGTAATCGACCACGTTCATATTCCGAAGCATGACTCTGTGTAACTGCCAAGCAGAGTCGAAAGACCAGTCTTCGTCCTAATCGACGAACTACGACTTCTGTAGGAGATTCGAAACCGAATGTCTAACGGGGATATTGAGAGCCCCCCGAATTACCTCCACGGTTTTGTTACCTGCCACGGGGAACATTTTCGTGAGGAGTCCTCCAATCCGCCTTCTGTAGGTACATTTTTTGTGTGCTCTAGAGTAGTCAATGTTCTATCAACCATTCGTTTACTCACAACCAGGCATCCTTCCGATAAACTATAGTTACAGCTGACTGTCCATTACTTCTCCTACTGACCCCATTTAAACCGAATGCCTGCCTAAGATTGCATGCCGAGTGATTAATGCTTCACCGACAAAAAAGTGAAAATTGTCCTCTGAAAAGAGCCACGCCGTGTCTCCACTAAGGCCGTACCAGTCGAATATTACACCTGCAAATTAGGCCAGCCAGTTGAACAGTCAAGACCTTTCGGTATGTCTCTGGCAAGGCGAAGACACTGGATGCCCTCAGTATTAATGCTTGTACTTTACAAGTGAATTCACGTGTCGATAGGCACATGGCCATCATACAATGCATCTGACCATTTAGTGTACTTACAAAAGCTAAGAAGTCATGTCCGGCAAACTAACGCCTTCATCATCAGGCCTGCATAGTAATATAAGGGGGGAGAAGGCTGCGAAAGGTAAACAGTCATTAGAAGTCAGTATGGGGGAGAGTGTTGAAGGGTGTTCAGAGGTCAGGGGTCGGATTTTAGTTCTTTCAGAGGTTTAGGGAGGCGGAGAGGAAAAGTGTCTGGCAGCTTCTTGCCATACGACCCAAAACAGTCAGTATGAACATAAATTTTAAATGGTAGGGGGGGGGGGCGCTAACCCATCGTTCTTACGGAACTCACTCGTCCCCCCTACCATCGTATATTCCAGATCGAAACTGACAGGGCAACGGGCTCGTGGCCCAGTGGTTAGAGGCGCGGACGTCTAGCTTACAGGTCGCGAGTTCGAGCCTCGCATATTCCACACTTCGGGGTCGGGTATGACTGGCTGACGACGGCTAATAAGCCAGAAATGGCCATTCCAATCTCCCTTGTCTTTGTCGATAATACCATTCTGCCTATAAATTTTAAATTCCATTTAGGTAACGAGGGCACACTGGATGCTTTGCTTTAAGCAATGCATCAGAAAACAGTAAGACATGCCTCATGAATCCTATGAGCGTACCGTATGCGACAGTTTACTCATATATATGTTTGAGTACTATGCAGTGATCTGCATAGTTGGATTAAAAAGGGCACAATAACAGCCGGCTTGCAATAAATAAACGGTCTAATGAATTTAATCGGATTTGCAGTTTGAATTGTTCCATGGTGACGTAGGCTTCCTAGCACAGAACTGTTAATACAGACACCCACTTAAAATAATTCAGAAAATGACCTAGAATGGTGAAATTGTTTGTGGGTACTCGCTGAAAGGGTAAGGTTACGTACATCTTAGAGAGATCCTCTCTAATTGAACAGTTACACCTTAAAACTTCATCCCTTTTTCAGTTGTAATTTTTCACGGCGGAATTCTTGGGTTTAAAGTCGAAGTATTCAGAAAATGGCATGCAAAAATCACCCCAACAGCTGCTCAGTCTTCATTTGCTAATGCATACAAATAATCCTCTTCGAACGCAGCCAGCCTGTAAATCTACGGAATTAGTTCTTGTATGTTTGTACGACAGCAGACGCGCAAGCGACCAATTGCGTTTTTCTTTCCACCCAAGTTTTGTTTTATTAAAATGAAATCTTCTTAATTATTTCCTAGGCTTCGGTTGGACTTGACGCCGACCAGTATCTCTTGACAACATCAGGCTACGCGCAGATTTAATTACTTTTGCAATTTTTTAACCATTTGTGACGTTTATCTGCAGCGAGAGCCAGTCTACGAAGCGATATGCGTACATGACAAAATCCGTGTCATCAGTACGGAGAAATTTATCTCGCTGCCTAGTTGCCCGTCATCTGCCAATCGCGATAATTAATGCTTACTTCCCTCCAGCTCTCATATACCCATAAATTATCCGATCCGACCACTTAGTTTTATCGAAATTCTGCAGCTGACCGATTATTACACCGTGATAAGGCAACGTCGATGTCTCATCCCATTTGAAGGGAAGATAACACGCTCAAGAGTAAACAGTAGTGGACTTCATACTGGTGCTGTGAACTTAGTAGAGACCTACTTGAGGCAACGAATTATCACAAGTGGATGCCCACACAACGAAATGGATCATGAATTTAACTTTGCAGCCAGCATGATAATCGCCCACGCCGGAAAAATAAGAGGCTGAGAATTGCTTGAAGCCTGGGCCTCAGATAAGAACTCAATCGATTTATCGATCCGGCCCGGCGCACAGAGCCCTGTGCAGTCAACTCCCAGTCTTGCACCATCGATCGATGGTTAACTAGCATGCCCTATAATTATCGCTCGTTCTGCCTCTGACACTCGACTCCTACACGAGTTTGAAAGCTCAGAACAATAAACAGACTATTTGGGTGCTCGATCAGTCTCCTTTTTCACTTACAACTCGAACTTTTGTCGCCATTAGTAAACTTACTGTTGCTACTCCCGCAAATTTGCCAGACCCCTCAAACGACAGCAAACGTTTCTTGTCGGGAAAGTGCATTTCCTGTCCCCATCAATAAGAGCCCGATGGTGGTGGTCTGTGGTTTGTGTGCAAGACCCATTCTGAGTCCACACCCAACCTTTTTGGGAAAACATGGAGGCAATATGAGCTGTATACGCAGTCGAAGTACTTCATATGCCAGCGCGCCGACTTTATTCGCCTCTGCCGTAGGACGATTTCCTCTATCCTGCGTAGTGGCCGGCCAACAGAGCGGCTTCAAGGTGACGAATCGGTCAAACCAGACCTCGGTACAGACGGCAGAACAGAGCAGTAGGCAGACTAGTCTGCTGTCAAAATGTCGAAAAGGCCGTCTTGGTGAGAAACTCACGTGAGCTTTTCAACCGCCCGCGGAGTTTATTCAAACTACTGGGCGGGTGGAAGCATGTGACCTGACAACTAAGGATGAGCAGTTAGTCGGACGCCTCTTTTCACTCTGTCTGAACAATTGTAACTTTAGAAATAGCGCATGAGATAGCACTCTCCAAGCACAATATTTGCCAGCACGGAACATCTGGATACAG